TTAGAGTCTTGGGGAGCAGCTGAGGCTAACCCCCATCTGTTCCCTGCATAGAGAAGGCCGCCATGCCTGCTGGCGCCGCGTCCTGCCTTGCCGACAGCCATGCCACTCATTACATAATCTGTTATTCTGTGCTGCAGCAGGCCCTGGTTACTTGTCAGAAGTTTCTGAAAGCCAGCTGCAGCGGCTCCCGGCAACTGGGGTGCTGCCTGTCCCTCATAGTATTACTCACTCTGTTCTTAGCTAAATTTAACTTGTTATCATCCCAATGATATTTTTGTGGGCTTGGGATTTTACATAATGCTACCAACTGCTGCGGGCTAAGAATTTCTCCTTTTTGTTATGTGTGTGCATGTGTGCCGAGTGCATGCGCACCACACACACACACTCTCTGTTCCCTCTATGAACTCTTGCACACTCACAGAAGTATTGCTGTTTACCTTTGCCCAGCTCTGCTTTCCACGCCCTCGATTTGGTGCTTCAGTCTACCCTCACTGTCCACCGCCTGGGACAAGAGCTTCTCCCTGCTTCCCACTGGCCGGCTAGTGCTTCCACCCACACCCGACACTCTCCACTCCGAGAGCCCTGAGGGTTCCTGCTGCCTGGGAAAGAGCAGTGTGTGGGAGCCAGTGGAAGCTGGGGGGGGGGAGTTGTCAAACAAGGAGAAGAACAACTACCCTGCCAGGTGTAAGGACCAGGATGAGCACCAGCAGAGGACCCAGAGCTATTCCCAGGGAGAGAAGACAGGTGCCCAGCTCTCAGAAGGGCCTGGGGCAGCATGTGAGGGCATGGACATACAGCTTGGCCCCTGTGATTCTCTGGGCTCTGCTGCCCAGAAGTGGCCATGGGCTAGACCCTCCCCCTGGGGTCTCATGTGTGTGCAGTGCCTTCTCCATTCTCCTGATGAGGAGGTGGGGTGAGTTCTGTAGGGGAGCAGCCACAGTAATGAAGGCAGCTACTAAGCACGTGCTGTGTGCCAGGTGCCATGCCCGCAGCTGGGTAAAGTGGGTAATAGTGTTCTATTTCTCAGATAAGATAACTGAGTGCCGGGCACTGGTGGCTCATGCCTATAATCCTAGTTACTCAGGAGGCTGAGATCTGAGGATGGAGGTTCAAAGCCAGACCGGGCAGGAAAGTCTGTTCAGACTCATATCTCCAATTAACACCAGAAAACCAGAAGTAGCACTTTGGATCAAGTGGTAGAGTACTTGCCTTGAGCTGAAGAGCTCAGGGACAGCGCCCAGGCCCCATGAGAGAGAAAAGAACACGAAGTCCCACAGAAGCCAAATAGAACATGGAGGCCTCAGTGCCACGATGTAACCAAAACCAAGCCCAGAGCCCGTGAGACTCATCGCTAATTGACCACTCAAAAACCACAAGTGGAGCTGTGGTGCAAAGTGATAGAGTGCTAGCCTCAAGTAAATCGAGCTTGGGGACAGCAACCAAGCCCTGAGTTCAAGCCCCACAACTGACCAAAAAAAAAAAAAAGAATTTAGGAACTCCAGGTGTATATCAAATTGAAAACCTATATCCACACAAACATTTGTATAAAAAGTTTTGTGTAGCTTGTTCGTAAATTGCCAGTAGGCAGAAACACCCCAGATGTCCAACAGCAGTTGAGTAGAGAAACAGAATGTGATTTATACATTCTGGCATGCAATGGAATATTATTTGGTCACCAAAAAGTGAAATGAGCACTGCCACATACTTTGACATGGATAAACTCTGAAAATGTAATGTTTCATGAAAGAAGCCAGACAGGAAAGGCCACCTGGGATGTAATTAAACTGAAGTGGAAAATGTCCAGGACAGGCCAATCTGTAGAGGTAGAAAACAGATTAGTGATTGCCAGCATCTGGCGGGGAGGAGACATTGGGCAGAGACTGCTCAAGGGTCAAGTTTCGTTTAGGATCTTGAAAATATTACAGGTTGAGGGGGGTAGTTATGGAGGTGGGAGGAAAGGGATTGTAGAGGGAAAACATAGGAGGAGGCAACAAAGCTCAGGAAATGTACTTATTACCGTGCCATGTAACTGTAAGCCCTCTGTACAGCATTTTTACAATAAAAAAAAGAAACTAGTCACAAAAAAGAGAAAATATTACAAGTTAAATGAATGGTGATGGTTGCACAACCTTGTAAATAGACTAATAACCAGTGCACTATACCCTGTACAGGGTGAACTCAGGACTACAGGCTGAGCTCCAGAGGCTTCAAAACATCTCCTCAATACCAACTCCCCAAAAGGATGGGCTTCGTGGCATGCGGATTATATCTCAATTAAAAAAAATGAGGAACCCCTCTGTACATCACCTGTATTTATTTATTTATTTTTGTCAGTTGTAGAGCTTGAACTCAGGCCTGGGAGCTGTCTCTGAGCTTTTTCACTCAAGGCCAGTGCTCTACCACTTTGAGCCACTGCACCTCTTCCAATTTTCTGGTAGTTTACTGGAGAGCCTTGTGGGCCGGGCGCCAGTGGCTTACACCTGTAATCCTAACTGCTCAGGAAGCTGAGATCTGAGGGTCTGCGGTTCACAGCCAGCTTGGGCAGGAAAGTCCATGAGACTTATCTCCAATGAGCCACCAGAAAACCAGAAGTGGTGCTGTGGCCTGAGTTGAAGAGCTGAGGGGCAGCGTGAACTGTGATTTACAGGCATGAGCCACCTAGTGCCTGGCATTGTACATCACCTTTATAATAACAATAAAACATATTCCCCCTGGAATCCAGAGCCCTGGCTTATAGTTAGACTCCAGGCAGTTTGTTTCAGGACCGCCTTCCATGTGTGTCAGCGTCCACCTATTTTCAGCCACCGCCCCCAGGTCCATGTGGGTGGGGGGAGCATTCTTCAGCCGTGCGCCCCCTCGTGTGGAAGCTCCACCCCAGCCAGGGCCAGCTTGAGGTATGTGGATGTCTGGGCATGCTTGCAACTTGGCGCCCCATCAAACCAGTATTCTTTAAGTGTTTGTTTGACATTTATTTAGTGGTGGTGAGGAGAGACTGATAGTCTATTAATAGAAATGGTGTAGAGAAACAGATTCATGTACTAATTCACAGCATCGGGGTTCTGAAAAATTTTTAGAAAAGTAATTCTGACTTCTTTTTTTTTTTTTGGTCGGTCGTGGGGCTTGAACTCTGGGCCTGGGCGCTGTCCCTCAGCTCTTCAGCTCAAGGTGAGCGCACTACCACTTGAGCTACAGCGCCACTTCCGGTTTTCTGGTGGTTTATTGGAGATAGGAGTCTCACGGTCTCTCCTGCCCGGGCTGGCTTTGAACCGCGATCCTCAGATCTCAGCCTCCTGAGTAGCTAGGATTACAGGCGTGAGACACCAGCGCCCGGCTCTCCAGGGATGTTTTGTACCCCAGGGTCTGTTTCCTAACCTCATCTTGGGTCACTTACTAGACTTGGGGTACTTTGGCCAGAGACTTAAGTCCCTACAACAGCCTCTTTGTGTTCCCAGAGCGCCTTTCCCCTGGTCCCCGCCAGTGCGAGGCCCCGCCGAGCTTCTCAAGCGCAGGTAGAATGGAGGCGCTTCCCTGCGCCATCTGCTCGTGCAGCCAGCCCTCGCCCTCTCTGGGAGCTGCTGTATTCAAAAATGGCGCTACTTAGCTCTGACCTCCCAGTGGTTGGGAGGTGTGTCTGGGAATGCCAAGAATCAGGATGCGGAGGTCCCTGCCGAGCTTGGTGAGCTGAGGCACTGGATGGCGCGTAGAGGAGATGGCTGAGGGCCTGGGGAACTGCGCCTGCTTGGCAGTGTTCTGTTTTTTGGGGGTCAAGCGTGTCTTTGGCTGTGTACATGTAGCCGTGGAAATGAGGAGCAGCCGCAAGATGGCTGAGAAGCCTGGGGCACTGAAGGCCACCCCACAAGTTGCTTGCTCCCTGTGCTCTGGCTTTCCCAGGCGCGTAGGATGTGTGGCGGGGTGGGGGTGGCATGTGAAGAGCCAGAAGAGCCACCGTTCTGAGCCTCACCTCCCACTGCTCCGCACGCGGTGCTCTCTGCGCCTCCCATTCCTTTTCTGTTCTGGCTCTGGTGGCCCTGCCGTTCACTGGCAGTTGATCACTTTGTCATCCTGAGCCTCTGTGCAGTTCCTCCCGGGTTTTACTTTTACCTCTATCCACACCACTCACCCTTGGTGGCCACGGAGTGGTCCCAGCCTTGGGAGCTCTGTGCCTGACCTCAGCCCTTGAAGGGCTGCCTTGGACTTGGACAAGTTGTTTCTGGAACAGTCCCAGCACCTACAGCCTGCAGGGAGCAGCTTTCTGGTCAGTCATCTGAAGGTCTCCTAGGCTGCTGCCTGCTCCCTGGGCAAAGGTACAAGGGTCTCATAAATGTGTCAGACAGACAAGGGTGTGTGTTGAGCTGTGATGTGGGCCCTGAGGGGTCTCAGGTCCCTGTGGGGGCTCTGGGCTGAGTGGCAGCTTTAGGGTGTCTCTGAATATTCTGTGTCACTCAGGTTTGGGACTCCCCGAAAGTCCATTTCTCTGTCTTTCTTATTCTGTTTTGTGGACTTGGCTCAGGCCTGCAGGAATCAGTCAAGGAGGATATTGATTCTACACCTTGTAGCCGGGAGGCTTGCTGGGAAAGCTAGAAGGCTGTGTCTTCTCACCCAGCACCATTGGGCCAAGTGTCTCCTACTCCTTGCTGCTTTGTCCCATCCACCTGTGGCCTCAAGTCCTGTGGGTGAAAACGCTCAGACTGCTGTGCTAGAGTTCTAGAAGGCAACTCTGCATGCTGGGGTTATAGGTTCCAGCTTCCTGTACAGTCTAAGCAAAGGGTTTAAAACTATGCTGGGGTATTTCCATCATCTGTTCCTTAAACACTTGCTCTCTGAATGCATCCTGGACCGGATGCATTTATAAAACAGAGACCCTTTCACTGATACCCATGTTCTACCTCTTATTCTGTGGGGAGTTTGGGTCTGGCGTAGCTCAGGGTGAGTCTGGCTCTGTGCTAGTGTGAAGAGAAGGGAAGTCTAAGTGTCTCACCAACTCTCCCATTATTGCAGGATGCTGGCATGTGTGTCCTGGTCCCTGATCCCCTCTTGTGGGTCTACTGATTCTTCCGTCTTCCTGTGCCAGAGACATCGACGGAGCTGTTCAGACCTGCAGGTAAGTCCCAACCTCTTTTCAGTGAACCTACATCCTGGTGTTGGGGCCACTTTGGCCTCTGGGGGTGCAGAGGCTTTGTTATTTCCTTCTTCCCTTAAAAACCGGACCATCCAATTGCCATGGGGTAGACTGTTTGGATTATGCTTCTTGCAAGTGTTGACTTAGCTTTACTAATTAGGAAGGATGATTTTCTGCCTCAGATATCTTGAGATTCCTATTCCCTACAACCTCCAGGCTAGCCCTGCGGGCGGCCATTCTCCCGCTGGCGGAGCTCCTTGGTCGGTGGCTCAGCCTGGCCTCCCCGCCGAGGACCCAGGTCAGGACAGGGCACACGATGAAGCAGGTAGGCATTTGGGGTTGAAGCTGATAGTTCCTTTTGGGCTGTAGTGCTTGGGCTTTTACCACTCTGGCGTTGGGCAGAGGCTAGACTGCTTCATCACCCTGTTGCCCACAAGCTGTAACAGTGGCTCCAGATACTCCTTGCATGGGTTTTCTTAGACTGTCTCTCTGTGCACACACATTCCCACAGTGAGAGGCCAAGGTTGAGGTTGTCAAGCAGCCACATCAGGACCAGGGATTGAATGGCCCAGTGCTAGACTCCTAGCTTATATATACCCTAGCCAAGACTTCCGGCTTCTAGTCTGTTCAAGTCTTACCCAGTCTCCTGTTTTTCATGTCAAGACCTTTGGCAGATGAAACAGGAAGTGAGGTGATTTTTCATTTTCCTTCCCTAAATTCCCAGACACCTTGCTGCCTGGGTTCTCCATAGCTAGTCAGAGCTTCTAGGTGTGAAGGCTGAGTATCCCTTTGAGGGAAGGGGAGGAATTGGGATGGGGGCTGGAAGTTTAGTCCCCACCCTCTGTATGGGGCCATTAAGTACACCATCTCCCCAGCAGTCCTGTGAAATTGGGATCCCATTTCACACTAAGGAGCTTAAGGCGAGGCTTAGCGATGGCTGCTGTTGGGTGTGTGCTCACACAGCTAGAATGGGACCCTGAGTCTGAACTCTGAAGTATGTGGTGTGATTTTCCAAAAGGAAGCTGCGATTCACAGGATGCAGGTCCAGGTCCCACCCTGGGCCCCCCTCCCTTGCGGAGAGCCTGGGTCGGGGTGCAGGGCCTCTGAGGCTGCCTCCAGCTTGGTGAGTGTGCCCCGCACGCTTCTGCATTCCCAGGCTGGCACCGTGGGCTGTTTTCTTCTCTAATTGCTCATTCTCTCTACTTGCCGTGAAAAGGCCTGCAAGTGCTAAGGAGAGAGAGTGCTATGTTGTGTGTGTTTTGGTTTTGGTTTTGTCTTTATTCACTTTCCAAGGTGTCTCAGCCTCAGATGTGGGTGTGGGGAGTGTGGTCCCATGAACCCATGGGTACATGGGTTCTGCAGGCTTGGAGCCCCACGGGTTCCATGTGCAGGTGAACGTAGCTTCCTACCCCACGCGGTGACCCCCCTACCGGAGTTCTCATGTCCCCAGCAGCCCTGGCTTCCTGTTTTTTTCTTACAGAAAGGGGGGTTCTTGACCTAGTTGATACCTACATCCTAGAGACCAGCGGGTTTGCAGAGACAGTGCCCTCATTGGGACCTGGAATGCTTTCAAGGATTTCTCTGCTTCACTCACTTCTCCAGAAAGTATTTGTTAACTGTTTAGTATGCCCTGGGTACTATGCCAGGGCCCCTGGGTACCAGTGAACAAAAGAAGCCCCATAGAAGTGGTTTGTTCCTTGTTGCACTCTGCTTTGCTTGTGCCATTCCATCGTGAAATTCCCTTCCTTCTCCTGCCTGTGAGGCTCCTGACTTCCCTTCACAGCCCTGTCCAAACACTTCCTTTTCGCAAAAGGTCTTTGCAAGCCAGGGGTCCACACTGACCCACCCTCCCTTCCCCTGTTCATCTCAGCATTCCGCTCTACTCTGATAGGGTTCTTGGCACCATATGCCCTGAAATATTTGGATTTCTAGCCCCAGCACCTGCTATCCTGCAGTCATTCAGACCCAGAACATGACAGGCCCAGCTGGGGCAATCAGGTTGACTCCTGCAGGCCTCTGAGCTGCCCTGGCGGTTTGTGGCTGCGATGGGCAGAGCGAGTGATGAGCTCTCTGGGCAGACAGAAGAGTCTTTAGGTAGAGAAAGCAGCATCCTCCCTCCTCTCCCCCCCCCCTCCCCACTCCCCCGGGGTGCTGAGAACATAGACATTCCCAGCCCTCGAAGTAAGGAAGGAAAGGCCTGAAGAACAGGGTTTAGTTGTTTTAGAGAAGCTGCTTGCTCTAAAGGAACTCAGAGCCTTTCCTTCCAGGGAAGAAAGATGCTGGGTTGTTTCTTAGCACAGCTGGGCATCTTCTGACTGTACAGTGGGGGCGGGGGTCTCACCCCAGGAGAACATTTGCCCTCAGTATTTCACTTTAAAGCTGAAGATGTTTGCCATTCCAAGGTGTAAGCGGGCTCCTGGCCTTGCCTTCACCTTGGTAACCCTGGGGAGGGAGCCAAACAAGGAGGGTCTCCTGACTCAGGCCCTGGCTTCCTTCCGATTCCTCAAAGTGTGGGCTCACAGGGAGGGGTGCTTCCTGCCATTGTCTGTAACAGCTCTGGCAAGGTCACTGTCTCCTGAGAAGGAAGAGAACTAATATTGTGTGCGGGACCTCAGCCCACAGCAGCAATGGACGCAGACTCCCGTTGGTAACGCCTGCCTCATGCTGGACTCCTTTCCTTTGCCTGGCCCTGTGCTGAAGCCAACACCTGGGTGGCTGCTTCCACCTGGGCAGCACAGCCTCTGAGCTGCTCCTCTCTCTTCCTTGAGGCATCCTGAGTCCACAGGGAAGATTTCTAGTCCACCCCCGTGGGCGGACATCATGCCATGAGCATAAGGAAAGGAGCTTATTCTGAACGCCTTGCTGTCCGCCAGTGCTGATCAGAAGCTGAGCAGGGCTCATGGCCCTGGTCATGTGCAGATTAGCTCTGTCCCTTCACCTGGACACCCAGCATGGTGCAGGACGTGGCTTCAGCTAGTTTTCCCGGCCTAGCCTTTACCTGCTCTTTGTGCTTCCCGCCTGGCTGTGTGCCCCAGAGCTGTCCTTTTCATTCTCTCTCCCATTCCCCTCAACTGCACTGCCCTGTGGCATAGGTGGGCGTGTCTTCCTGAGAGACCATTATGGTTTTCCAGCCAAATGGCATATTTTGTCTTGTGCTTCCAGCTCTCACCTGTTGAGGTGCACCCAGGTGTTCTATTCTTCAGGAGAGATGGGCACAAAAGTTCTGGGTTACTGAGCTCGGAACAGGCAGAGCCAACTGTGAAGCCATCCTACTCTGTTCAGGGCCATAAGAGAAGAAGGGCTCCTCAGAGCTAGGCTACAGGCTCTCCCGTGGAAGCCCCTTCTCATATTGTCCTTCTTCCTGCTCCTCCTGGCTGTCAGAAAGAGCCTGCTGTTTTCTTTCTCTCCTGTGACTGATTCTTGGCATACTCAAGAAGCTCGTGGTTGTGACCTCATCGTGCCTGGTCAGGAGGCACCTCCAAGCCTTTACTTGTGAACTAGTTGTACCTCCTGTTGCCAGGGGCCCTTGGCAGGGATTTCTGGGTCCATCCTCTGTGTCATTCCTCGCTTTATTCTCTCACACACTTCCTTTCTTGAAGAATAATTTTTGTTCCTAGAGATTATGTCCAGAGCTAGGAATTGTTGGAAGGATTCCTGCGAGGATGCACTCTGAATTCAGACTATTCATTTCAGCAGCATGGGTAACTCTACCGTGGATCAAGACATGGGATAAATTGGGGCTGTGAAGGTGGCTCAGTGGTAGAGCGCTTGCCTTGCATGCCTGAGGCCTGGGTTCCATTCCTCAGCACCACGTAAGCAAAAAGAAAAAAGCTGGAAGTGGCTCTGTGGCTCAAGTGGTAGAGCGCTAGCCTTGAGCTGAAGAGCTGAGGGACAGCGCCCAGGCCCAGAGTTCAGGCCCCACGACTGGATCAAAAAAAAAAGGGGGGGGATAAATTACTAAATGGTTCTGGCCTCCTGGGGCTTATGCTTTAGTGGAATAGACAAACTGTGAATAAATAGTAAGATATGCAGGTGAGCCAGGTGCTGGTGGCTCACACCTGTAACCCTAGCTACTGAAGGGGCTGCAATCTGCACATCTGGGAATTGGGATTTGAAGCCAGCCCAGGCAGGAAAATGAGTGAGACTTTTATCTCCAATTAACTACCACCCCTCCAAAAAAAAAAAAAAAGCCAAAAGTAGAGCTGTGGTTTAAGTGTTAGAGTACTAGGCTTAGACAAAAAAGCTCAAGGACAGTGCCAGGTCCTGAGTTCAAGCCCCAGACCCAGCGTAAACATTTTAAAAAGTAATGAAAGCCTAGCTCGTTGGGGCAGTGAGGACTTGTCTTTAGCATTCCATCCTCTAGCGCTCCAGCACTGCCCTGCTCAGCTGTCCCCTGCGCTGTCACACACTCCAGAAGGCACCGCGAGGGGCTCCTGCTGTTGCTGGGGTGACTCGCAGGAATAGACCTGTGCTCGAGGACACTGAGGCTGTCTGGGACCCCTGAGATCTGGGACCCCTAAGTCTGGGTGCTGTGCCTGGACTGTGGTGCCACATGTATTAGCTTCAAGATTTACCCCCATTCCCTGGCCTCCATCTTCCCAAAAGAGGAGCTGCTAGCTTGCCCTTGGAGCAGGTGGGTTCACTGTGGGAAGGGCAGGCTTGATAGGACAAGCACCAAGCACCCTCTGTACCCGAGCACAGAATAGATGTAAAAGATACAAGTGCTATGTTTTGAAGGGCTTAGGGAAGACACCCTTCACTCACCTTGGTGCCTGAGCCTGTGTCCCTCTCCGTGTGTGCCACTCAGAGGGGGGGATATGAGGCACAGTTGTTCCTTGATCTGTACTATGAAAAAGTTGATTAAAGCAGGATAAATGGAAGATAATGACACAAGAAGGAGGTTCAGAGATGACATCTCAGCATGGGGCCCTGTTTCTATGTCACAGATTGGCCCAGAGCCAGGCTATCTGATGTCCCCTTTA